TAAACGTTAGATCGGTACCAAGCCCCATATTTGGATCCAGTGATTTACCACGTACTCTCCCATATATTTTGTGCTGCTTAATACTGGCTGTTATGAAGGTTCGTCGCCTGGTGTCCACACCAGTTGCTAGAAATTTCTATGAGCCGTATCGTGCCATAGAAAAGATGAGGGAAGATACCAGGCACACCAGAGCAAAGAAATGTGGGGCATGTACCGATCTAACGTTTATTATGCTGGAGGAGGTGTACTAGTGTGGTTAGACTGGTAAGGGTGTGCGTAGATTTAGCGGAGGTTTGGAGGGGGGGGAAGCCACCCAAAACGCTGATTGATTTTCCAACGCCCCCCTGCCCTCCCCCTCTGCTAGTACGTACCTTGTATCTTTTTGGGCGCTTTTTTGGGCGTGCCTCAGCAAAAGCGCGCCGCACTTCGAGGTGTCAAATCAGTAACCCACGCTAGCCTTTGCCGCGTCCAGCTACAAAAGGTTCGAACCACCCACCTCCCACGGATTCCCATCATCACTCCCGACTTCCATTCTTCATCACACAACTCACTCACGCAACCAGCATCTCTCACAAGCCGCATTTGGATTTATTTCCATTTCAACTAATTACAAACTTTTTACACTTTTTTTCCCCACCACCCACATTAAAAAATCAGTCCAAATGGCTCCCAAGGCCGCTGACAAGAAGCCCGCCTCCAAGGCCCCTGCTACTGCCTCCAAGGCTCCCGAGAAGAAGGATGCCGGCAAGAAGACCGCCGCCACTGGCGACAAGAAGAAGCGCACCAAGGCCCGCAAGGAGACCTACTCCAGCTACATCTACAAGGGTGAGTTCCTCCTGATCTTTCGAATCCAGTCGCGTCGCATGATTGCGCATCCATCGCGTTTACAACGCGCGCGCGCGCGCACACACATCCACTGGTGTCAAAAAGCACCATTCGCATTGAAACATTCCAATCTGACTGTGTTCGTTTCTAGTCCTCAAGCAGGTCCACCCCGACACTGGTATCTCCAACCGTGCCATGTCCATCCTGAACTCTTTCGTCAACGGTAAGTCAAACAGCCAACCACCCTGCCGCGCGCCTTCTCTGGTTATCACAGAGGCTAATTCCATTCTCCCGCTTAGACATCTTCGAGCGCGTCGCCACTGAGGCTTCCAAGCTTGCTGCCTACAACAAGAAGTCCACCATCTCTTCCCGAGAGATCCAGACCTCGGTCCGCCTCATCCTGCCCGGTGAGCTGGCCAAGCACGCCGTGTCGGAGGGTACCAAGGCTGTCACCAAGTACTCTTCTTCCACGAAATAAGTGCTTGATGGTCTGGTTGCGCGAGGGGTCGTGATGTTTTCTCTTTTGGGCATGGGGTCCTTTCTGGCTTGCTTTGGCATCATGATGAGGCTAGGCCACTGCATAGGCCAGATGCTACGGATCTCGATTATGGAGTCTCAATAATGCGTTACGGAATGGTTTCTGATTTCAGGAGACAATTGTCTCTGCACAACACGGTATGGGGTTCGCGGTTGTACTATACATTTTGCCGAATAGGTTCTCGGAAATGACACCTGAACATGAACAAGACAAACAAACTCTAATACTCTCTTCTCTTCCGCCGGCTTTGTGATATCCTTCATTTTCTGTTTCTGTTTGATTCCTTGGGAGAGTCTACTCGGATGGACGTGTCAAACTTACTTGACAGCAGCACATACACGAAAACTCTACTTGAGTATGCAAAGCGTTTCGGCAAGCCAAGCTGGTTGCCAAGGTTGGAATATGGACGCGCAAAGAATCAGATGCATCATATTGCCAGTATGATGCACTTTGGATCGCCAGGGCAATTTGACCGATCATTCAACCATTATGAACAGATGTGGAAATCGCTACGCGTTAGAATTTGGACAAAAAAGCAGCACTACCCAAAAGTCTTGAGGAATAGCATCAAACAAACAAATTTGAAGAGGTTTGATTTTGACGGCTATGTATCAGATGCATAATGAATCCTTGTAGCAAAAGTATTGCCTGGTCCCACACTTTCTACCATGAATTATGCTACAATGACAATCTTAGTCAAGTGTCATGTCGTTCCAAGTTGTATCCTGGCAGACATAATCCGGCCAGGCGCGCCAGAATCATGTACAATGGTAACAGTCGTGCTACAAGAAGAAAAAGGTCCTGTTGCACACCAAATTTCTATAGATCGCCGAGGCCAAGTCTGCTCTTCTTCATCACGTGGGCGATTGGGACCATGATGCCCTTGTTGTCCACGGTACCAAGAGCCATGCCCTTGGCCCAGCCCATCTTCTCCAGCAGCATCCTGCCCTTGTTATCAGAAGCCAGCTCGCGAGCATGTTGGCCCACAACTTCTCCCTCGCGGTAGCTGACGGCATTGTCGTTGCGCTTCAAGCCGCTCGTGTCTTTGCGCAGGCCAGCTCGATGCGCCTTGGCCACATTGGTATCTACATCAACGCGCGTGAAGTATTGGCGCCGGAAAACACGGTCGACAATGCTCTCAAAACGGCGTTCCTCATATTCCAATGTCCGCGCCGTGCGGTAGAGTACTGGGTGGCGGTTATCTCCTGTACCTGAAGATTGTGACTTGATCTTGAGGTGACTGCAGGCTGTATGAAGGCACTGTCTTGCATGCTTATCAAGTGGGGGAAACCGAAGCCTGGTAGATCAAAAATATGTTAGTGACAAGCAATGAAGAGACATGTCGATAACCTAGCAGGTATAATCCAGGACGTATTCAACACAGCTGACAGCTTCTGTGCCGATGACATCTTGTTTGTTCCGGACGTTGGAGCACCAGAAAAAAAAAAAGAATAAAAGCTAACTGAGAAGAGTACATCAACTTACTGTTCATCCGAGCCAATGATGAATTGCTCCAGCTCAAAGACGAGCTCGTCCCTGCTCATACCAACTTGGTACTTTGTGCGAAGATCGTCGGGGTTCACGTTTTTACCCAACAAGCCTTGAGCACGCAGAGCCTCTCTCTGCTTCTTCTTCTCGGCCTTTTTGAGGCGGTCCTTTTTGAAAGCCATGTTCATAGCCTCTTCGAGCTCCGAGTCCGAGTGCTCCGGAGCCCGGGACGTACGCTTGGCGGCTTGTTCAAAGTTATTGAGAGCAGCTCGATGCCAGTCCATGAGATCCAAATCATCAAAAGCTTCGGCCATGGCTGTCGCACTCGGATACTGGCACTTCTTCTGAAAGATCTTGGCCTGCTTGGTGGAACTCTTCTTCTTCTTCTTGCTTCTGGGCGTTGTCCTGGGAGCAATTTGCCAATCGCCTTCGTTATCGTCCTCATCCTCCACGTCATTGTAAAGCATGAGATCGTCACCACCAAGTCCTAGCTCCTCCTGCTTGGCCAGCATTCTTGCCAGGCGTTCATCCTCCTGCTCAACTTTGCGACGCCGGGCAGCAGCAGACATTTCGGAATCGGCGGTTGCTTCTTCCTCTTCTTCCTCCTCCTCCAAATCGCTGGAATCATCCCCATCACTGTCGTCTTTGGCGGCAGGCTCAGGGATAGCGTCACTATCACTACCTCCGAGGTCTCTCAGCAGGTGGAAAGCATGTGACCCTAGTCCTGGGTGAGGATCAGCTTCGTCATCGTCGTTGTCGTCATCGTCCATATCACTGTCGTCGTCCTTCATGTTTGCAATGTAGTCGGCCACCAGGGCAGCTTCCTCATCTGAAGGAGAGACGTCTAGTAGAGCGTCCAGCTGTGAAGGTTCCGACTTCCTGTGTACTATTTCATCATGAACACTGGGCTGCTTGTCATGTTGTAAGTGGTCTGTGCCGATAACGTGGGTAGACTCGACAATGGTAGTATGGTCATGGGTACCACGTTCGATGGTGCTTTCCACAATTCTGATCTCTGCATCAATTTCACGGAGCTCAATCGAGTCATCGACAACCTCTGATTTGGGGGAAGCGCGCTGCGAGTGAGCGGCCGAGCGAAGTGTGGGATCTCGGCCCCTGAACAGAATCACCTCTTCGCTAGAATCAGAGTCCTGGTCTGATTCGGGCCGTGGCAACACCGGTAATTTATCCAATTCTTTGGGACGCAGCGATTTGTCCCCGGTGGTGTCAATGACAAAGAGCTCTGGAAGGGGTGAGTGGTCTGTTTTGTGCTCTGCGTGTGCACTGGGAAGAGGAGGACTGGTATCCTCTCCTGCCTCGTGGCTAGGAGCTGCCGCATCAACTTGATCGACCAGGGCATGGGGAATAATAGGATGCTCTACTTCCAGGGTTTCATGCTGCTTGGCGTCGGCAGGAACCTCTTTCTGGGGAATGTTGAGCTCCTTCATGGGGTCCATGAAGCCGCCTCTGACAAAGGTGACAGGTCGGTGGCGTAGCTTTGCATCCTGGCCAAAGAAGCCCCTGGGCCGCTTGGAAGTAGTTCTAGCCTCTTCAGCAAGCGTGTGGCCTGGCAAAAAGAATCAGTACATGTTGGTTCTTCTCGTGAGCCTTGAGAAGGCATGTGAAGAGACGTCGTACCACGAGGGGTTGTGCTGGCGGTGGATGGCACAAACGGTGACAAGGAATTATATGAGCCGACGGTGGGATTGAGCCGTGAAGTTTGCTGATTCCAGTGCGGGCTGGCAGTGGGACGGCCACTCTTGCGTTTTCCTTTGGAATTATGCTTGCGAGGCATTTTGTATTTGAATGTCGGTCCTCGAACTAAAAGTTTTCTCTTCTTCTCTTCTTTTTTTTTTTTGCTACACCCAAGCGGATGGCCAAAAGAAGGCGTGGTGATGTTTTGACGATTTGCAGATGCCCAGCAAACCAGACTTTCCTTACTCCCCTTCCTGATTAGACCAAAGAGTCGAACAAGTAAAGCCAAGACGGGCGGGCAGCTGTGCAGAGGATGGATATGTCGCCCAGGAATGAAGCGTTCCTGCGGTGGAGTGAAGAAAATGTATAGACTGGGTTTGATCTATCTATTTTGTAGTGTAGTGAAAGTTGGGACGGATAGGAAGGGTGGCGAGCACCAGCTTTCGGCTGCCGACTGGGCTGAATGACGGGTCCAATTGAAAGCACCACCGCTCCTACTCACAAGGAAACAATGGCAGTGACGTCTTGTTTTTCCTTTCCCTCTTCTTGCTCGCCCTCTCAAGATTGTTCTCTCTCTATCTCTTCCGATCCAGGCAGGTAATATGCAGATAATTACTTCAACACCTTGTTAAGAGTGAAACCCTAAACCCTCTGATACTCGACCGGCGGCTGTTCACAGACATGAGATTCACAATGCATGTACGGAATAAGAACATCGACAGAAATAAGCGAATGAGTCAAGTTTAGTTGCCCCTCCATATCGCTATCGATAAGCTTGTGCTAATGTAATGTACATACTTACCCACCTACCAGGTGCCTTGTAGGCACCACATGTTGCAGCCTTATTTACATACTTTCTCACTCTCTTTATTGACTAACAATAGTACGTAGCTAGCCCCGTCTCCGTTTTCACCTTTATGGAATACCTGTGGGACTATATAAAAATTTTTTAAATGGACTTGAAGATTAAAAAAAAGGAAGAAGAGAGAAGTGATATTAATTATGAAAGAACAAATATATTACTATTGAGCGCGCGCAGGGGGGGGTTCTCTCTGTGTAGGGCAAGGAAACGTTGGCCGGTACTTGACAATGCTGCTTGCCTACGACAGTTAATTCTTGTGCATGACATAACTCCCCTCGTTGTTGCCTCTGTTTGCCTGCAATTTGATTCAGCTGGGTCCTGCAAATTCTCTCACAGACGGACAAGTAGTAGTACCCAGGTACATTCACCACATGTTAACATACTTTGTTGGAAGATGGAAAGCAGATAATATCCGTGGTAATTCACACTGAAAGATGGCAGTCGGGAAGGTACACACAAGATACCTATGTTCAATAAACCAATCATCAAATTATCTAGCCACAGTATCTCATACGTACATGACTACCGCTGTATAATACCAACATGTTCAGACTCTTGTGTAGTACTCCTCCCAATACACAGAACAGCTACATTAGGTACCCTCCATGTTTGCCTGAAAAGCAGTGTCTAATCCCATGGAACACATTCGGTCATTCTGCAGAACAACATGTTCATTTTCTATACCTCTCATTGATTTATTGAGTTGCTCATCACCTGTACACATACGTATTTGTTGCAGCTAGGATCTTACCTACCTTGTGTTACTAGCTATATAATAAAAAGACATATTATTCCATAAATGTAGCACAATTGCACCCTCCATGTCTCTCCACTGTTAGCTGCGGCAAGTTCCGATGCCCTTTTTTCTTGCCTCCAGCTGTCCAGGTCTCGCTCGAGTGGCATTCCATTGCTCCATATCAGCCATGAGCTTGGGCTACACTAACCCCGGCTGGCCGAGAAGCTGTGCCGGAACTGAATGGCGGCGGCGCTGGATCCAATCGGGCGGGGCGCCTGAGCGAGCCCAAGAAACGTCACATAAGGCAATCAGCTGCCCGCCTTGGCCAGATGACTGTACTGGATGAACTACTAGGTACTGCACCTACATTTGGGCAATGTAGGGTAGATAATGTACATACCTAGTGTAGGTAGTTATTATAACATTAGTACTTCTTACTGGTAGCTAGCTAACCTTTGTACATCCATGTCGAGTTGAGCCACCAATAACCAATACACATACACCAGCACCAGCAAAAGAAGAACAAGAAGCAACAGCAGCAGCATTCAACATCATCTGCTGGTCCATTCTGATTACATTGTGGCCTTGATCGGCTGCTCATTTCAGCATCCTCCGACTCTCTCCCCTTTCATTGGTCCCCAAACAACGAGCACGTCCTTGCCTGCGCATCTGCCCTTGTATCCGTTGCTGTTGCTGTTGCTGTTGCTCTTCTTATCGTCTGCCTGCTACTCTCCCACCACCCCCCGCCGAGTAGTACTCCCCCCAACTTACCTTGACGACCAACCTACCTAGGTACTGCATACGGCAACAGTCTCTGCGACGGGGACAGCGTCATACTGTCATCACTACTTGACACTCTCGATACACTTGTTTCAGCGTCACTTATCATAAACACTCACAACGCGCGCGCGCACGGTTTCTTCCCCAAGATGGATGCCACTTTGGACGTGGGTCGGCGGATCGTGCAGATGCTCTGGGACCCCGAACCGACCAACGATATCGTCAAAGATCAGCCCGTATGGTGTCTAGGGACGTCCTACCGACTAAACAACACCAACACCCACAAGCACCCCGAAAATACATCCAGTCCGACAACTGCTTCTGCTGTCGCCGCCGCCGCCGCCCATGACTCTTCCCCATCCACGACCAGTAATAATAATAATGATATCACCAGCGACAACAACAACAACCCTTCCCCGGCCCAAGGGCCTGCAAAGTTGCCAGAGACTCCACCAGATTCCATCTCCAGCAGTCTCGACTCGTCACTTGCTTATGAGGATGCCCCAAGGGACGGGGGCTGGCCACCCGCCTTTCTAGATGACTTTGAATCGCGCGTCTGGATGACCTACAGATCAGAGTTCGAGCCTATAGCCAAGTCGCACGACCCAAAGGCGTTGGCGGCTCTGTCCTTCTCCATGCGTATCAAAACACAGTTGTCGGACCAGGCTGGCTTCTCCTCCGATAGTGGATGGGGATGTATGATACGCTCAGGTCAGAGCTTGCTAGCAAATGCCATGCAAACAGAGAAGCTGGGCAGAGGTAAAGTCCACTCCCGAGGGTACCGAACCAGTTCAAATACTAACCAAGGAATTTTCCCCCCGGAACAGGTTGGCGAAGGGGCGCCGAGGGGGAACAGGAAAAGCATCTCCTCTCTCTTTTTGCTGATGATCCGAGAGCACCCTATTCGATTCACAAATTTGTAGATCATGGTGCCGCCGCTTGTGGTAAATATCCTGGCGAATGGTTTGGCCCGTCGGCAACTGCCAGGTGCATACAGTACGTCCAGAGGCGCCCCAAGACAATATCCATCGCCTTGCAGCAATGTTGAAAAAAAAAAAAACAATACTAGAACGGGAAGATACCAAAAGCTGACGGTTAATGTCCAAGGGCACTGACGAACGCAAACGAGCCGGATCTGCGGGTCTACTCCACAGGAGATGGACCTGATGTGTACGAGGACAACTTTATGAAGATTGCCATGCCAGACGGCAAGACCTTTCACCCTACAGTTGTTCTCGTCGGTACAAGGTTAGGTATTGACAAGATTACGCCGGTGTATTGGGAAGCGCTTATTGCGTCCTTGCAGATGCCGCAGTCTATTGGTATCGCCGGGTGAGTGAACCATCTCCTCTAGAAACCGTCTGCCTATCTCTGACTTCCGTCGTCTCCCTAGCGGCCGGCCATCGTCCTCACATTATTTTGTCGGCGTACAGGGGCTGTATTTCTTCTATCTAGACCCGCATTTTACCCGTCCTGCCTTGCCTTACCACGAGCATTCTGCCGACTATACCCCCGACGAAATTGATACTTGCCACACGCGCAAGCTCCGGCGCCTTCACATTAAGGAAATGGATCCGAGCATGCTGATTGGCTTCCTCATCCGGAGCGAGGACGACTGGACCGACTGGAGGCGTGGCGTCAAGCATGTCCAGGGCAAATCCATCATCCACGTCTCAGACCATGACCCTGTCGCACATTGCGAGGCCAATGAGAATAGTTTCATGGACCAGGTAGAGGCCATGAGCGATGACGAAAATGATGCCGACACTGCGCTTGACGGGTAACGCATGAACTTTGCGCGACGGTAGTTCTGGAAGGGAGGGAGTGAGTCGCAGCCACCACCCAAGCCAGCCACTCAAGCCAGCCACTCATTGGGGGGGAGCCTAGGCGTTTCGGTTGACTTGGTATACATTATGCATCACGGCGTGTCTCTAGCTATCACATCGGGTAGCGGAAATAGACCCAACCCGCTAGCTAGCCATCATTATTTCTGCCTTTGCCATCTCTCGTGCGTGGCCGCTCGTGGTAGCTGCCCATCTGTAAAAGTGACGGTTCTGCTACTTGGTCGGAATATGAGACTGTCACCGCCTTTGGCCAGAGGAGAGTGAAGAAAACAATATCTCAACACATGGCAGCTTTGTAGCTCATGTGCCAGTCCGAGCTGAGCTACACCCCTGCGAGGGCGTATAGGCAAGAGGATGTCGGCATTGTTATAGTTTTGGCGCTTTGAAGTCTTGAGCTTATCGAGAACATGAACCATGTCAGGTTGTAGGCATCATGCTCAACGCTTCTTCTTGTTGGCCTTGGCAGCTTTGCTTGATGTTTTGATGCTACCGACGGGGGCTGCATGTTTGGGGTTCGCCTTGAGATGGCTGAACAACTTGGTTTTGGAATCAAATAGCTCATCACACTACAAGAAATGAAGTCAGTATTTTCCAACTATGCCTGCGTGCCTCACAACAAAATCGTCTCTTCTGCATTCTCGTCGGGGTCCCATGGTGTAGTAGTTGTTATTATTATCAAGCTGGTCGCTTTGAAAAGGGAAAAGAGATGATGTATGCAGCTCAATGTCGAATGTGAAAAATGAATTGTACTTACCACGGCACATTTCTGTGAAGCACCTTGTTGCTCCAACTCGGCCTGTTTGGCTGCCTTCTTCTCCCGTTTCGCCTTGGCCTTGCCAACTTTTTTGTTTAATCCGGTGTTTTGAAGGGCCAGGTCTTCAGTGTCGTGGGTAATATCCTCCAGTTCATCACGATCCCCGTTGCTGGGCGGCTTCGCAGCAAGGCGATCCTCAACAATGGCCCTCGGGGCATATTCATCATCCCCACTATCCTCTTCATCAGAGGCTATGCTGGGCTCCTCCTTGGAGGTCGGCACACTCTTGTTTGCATCGGTAATCTTCTCAAGGGCCGCTTCAGACCCGGCATCGCTATGCTGCAGTGTTTCTGCTTCCGCCAATCCATCTTCCGATACAACGTCATCGCCCCCGTCCTCGTCGGCAAGCGTGGCGGGTGCTATTGGGTCGTCGAGGTCGAATTTGACATCATCCTTTTTCATCTGCCTCTTGAGTTGTTGTACTGCCTTGATGTGCTTCTTGCTTTTCTCATGCGCCTCGTATTGCTTCTCTGTCTTGAATGTCTTGTTGCAAACCACACATTCGAGGACCTCGACCTCGGACTCCTCTTCACTCTCTGTGAACTCCCCCTCCAGTCCCTGGTCATCTCCCCTCGACTGTGCCCACTCGGGAACAACATAGTCTTCCGCGGCCTTTTGATTCGCAGCCCTGGCCCTGGCGGCTTGCTGCTGCGCCGACTCGCGCAGTATCTTTTGTCGCTCTGCCTCGGACTGGGTATTTGGCACATAGCGGGGATCTCGTTTCCGCACAAAGGCGACAAGGGAGCGTACGGCATCGTTGAAGTCGCGCCTGGCCTCTTCGCGGAGCTGCTTGTTCTCCTTCTCCATGAGCCGGCGCACCCGCCGATCAGGGGCATCCGACAGACGCCACTTGTCCTCCCATGCGAAACTCTTCTTGGTGGCAAAATTGGACCAGGCGCTGTAGAAGACCCTTGCGACGCTATCATAGTCGTCGGCGGCGCAACCAAAGGATGGGTACTCGACAATGGGCTGGTCATCCCACTCGCAGGCGGCGATCTCCTGCTCGGCCAGAGAGTCGAAAGTGTTCTGCAGGATCCCAAAGAAGCCGTTCGGGGCATCGGTGAATGGTACGGTCGAGTTAAAGCGACCGATTAGGGTGAAGAGCTCACTGGCGGTGGTCATGCGGACATTGTAGTACTCGGCGGTCCCGCCAGTCTCGTTCGGGTCATCGCCGCGTAGAATGGCATCACGATGAGAGTCATACCAGGCTCGTTCCTGGGCGTCAGAGAGAACCTCGTAGGCGGCCTGAACCTCGGCGAACTTTCTGGTCGCGTTCTCGACGTCTCCATAGTTTCGATCGGGATGTAACTCGAGGGCCTTTTTCCTGTACGCCTTTTTGATCCTGAGAGACGTAGTGGTTCGATGATTAGCCGTTTATGATGGGCCCCGTAACTTTCACGTGTGTATGTATATACAGGTCAAGGAGGCAGGATCGTGGACGTACTCATCATCGGTGGCCTGGCGGTCGACGGCCAAGAGCTCGTAGTAATCGGTTTTTTGCGGCGCATTATTCGTGGGGGCAGAGCCACGGTTGGAGGACTGCTCGTTTCCCATGGCCGCCTCGGGCTTGCTGCGTCTCTCTGGCTTTGACTCAATGAAGAAGACACGGCGCCGATATCGAGAATATCTGGACGGACGGGAGCCAATAAAGACTAGAACCTTTACTGAGATATTCTAGTGTAATAAGGCTGCAAAGGCGGATGGATCTGCGCAATGGAGCAATAGAGGTTGACGGGTTGGCTGAGTGGAGCACAAAAGATAAAATGTCGAAATGCCCCAAGTCGCTGGATAATGATGTTGTAGCCCTTTACGGCAACCTCGGAGAAATTGATAGCTGCAAAATATTTGTCTATTGGCCATGAGGGCATGATATTATCTATCACCCATCTGACGAGAACCAACTGCTTTTGTAAATTATTGATTTCCACATCAGCACCTGCATATTACAGCTTGAACAGAATTTCTCCTGGCGGCAACCTAAAGTCGGTGTCTTGAATTGTAGAACCCCGCGATGGCCGAGATTGGAAATACATTAGGTACATGATGGCGGGGTAGCACTTTTTTTTTTTTTTTTTTTTTTTTTTCCCTCCCGTTCTTGGGAAATCGGGAGGGGAATCAGGGGACCTGAAAACTTGCCTATCTAGTCATAGTAAAAGCAGCTAATTGACGATCCCATCGGGCTCAGCTAGTTGATGTGCTTTTCAAGTTGCAATTGATGGAACCTGGGAAAACAAGATGCGCCTCATCAGTCCCGTACCATCACGCGCCTTCGGCACGTGGGCAGTCTAGTATGAATAGATATCTGTTATACCTATTCACTACTAACACTAGATTTGAAAAAGTTTCGTAAATCTCCTCTTCTTTCGAATGGAGGATATCTACATGACTTTTTGCTTGTGTAACTACATTGGTACAGAGTACTACTAGACTTGACGGTGCAGTATGAGCGAGGACAACTTGTGTCTTGGCATATCAGCTTGAACTGCATGTAGAAATCAAGAGGCCGACACAAATCAAAACCCCGGGAGGTATGTAGGACTTGTACATGACTGTTTACCTCCACAGGTAATGTAAAGATGCAGCCAGGCCTCAACTAGGTCCCTAGGGAGACAGTCTGGACTCTGGTGGTTGATATCCACTAGACGGGTCACTAACATCCATGGTTTTATACATACATTTAATGACCTACCGACGTCCGTACCTACAGTGCACATATTTAACACTTTACATAGTACATTAGATTTCTTCTTTGGTTGGTCCCCATCTAAGTCTTCCTCTCGCCGCCCCTCCTCCTCCTCCTCCTCCTTCCCTGTCCAAATGATCTGCCTGCACCTGCAGGTCAATCAATGCAAGCGAGATGCTTTGTGGACTTGTGGCAATTCTAGATTTGGGCAATGGTCGCGTGCCCTTTTTCCCAAGATAGAAAAAAAAAAAAACCCCCATGTATTGCAGAGGTAGAGTCGATAAAGTAGGTATTGAGCAAAGATTGAACATTGAGGACCTCCGCTCTACCTGTATCCCACTGTATGTGATCTAGTCAACGTAGCCTGTATGTGGGTATATAAATAACAGGAGGGGCGCCATATGCCAGGAGCGAGGCATGATTTGATGCCTTTCAGAGCATTTTTATTATTTCCTCGCCATATGGAACATTCATAATATGAGTGTAGCAGAAAACCACAAACAAAACCAAGGATGCAAGTCAAAGAAGTGAGTGAGAAGAAGAAGAAAAGTTTGAACAATCCACCCCTCCATCGATCGCCCCTCCGGATGACAGTGCCGCCCGTGCCTTACTTAATACAGCCAAAAAGTTGGAAAAAAAAAAGAACCTTACCCAAAAGAAAAAGCCCCCATGGGACATTACTCGAAAACCTTCTTCCCCGATGACGGTTCATCAGCCCAGATTCGCTTCTACAAATGTCATTTAGTTGCCTGCATGCCTAGACTATTTAATCCTAGCTTATTTGTCGTTGTAGTATATTGCCTATCTTCTCGCTCATCTACCTTATTTGCATGTTGCAATTTTGTCCACCCATCCTTCTTTGCCATTTTTCTCTCTCTCTCTCTCTC